TCGTTGATGCCCGTCTGCTGGAAGAAGAAGGAGCCGCTGTAGCAGAGGATGCCGCCGTCGGTGATCTGCGAGAGGAAGGCCATGCAGGCGATTTCCGTGCGGCGCAGGTTGGTGCCCCGGAAGGCGTCCCAGTAGGTGACGCCGGCGCGCTCCTCCTTTTCGACCTTGTCCGTGTGCACCATGAGGGCGATGGAGGCGTCGTAGTCAACATTGTGCGTGGGCTCGGACAGGCGCTCGAGGGAGCGGCGCGCGCGCTCGAGCTGGCCCGTCCGCACCAGGAACCAGGGGGACTCGGGGGCCATCCAGGCCGCGATGAAGAGCGGGATGGGCCAGATCCACTGCACGGCAAAGGGGATGCGGTAGCTCCAGTCGGTCGGGTTGTTGACGAGGCCGACCAGGACGCCGGCCGAGATGAACTGGCCGATGCACCAGCACAGGTTGATGTAGGCTGTCAGGTAGCCGCGCAGGGCCAGCGGCGCCACCTCAGCGGCGTAGGCGGGACCGGTCGTGGCAAAGACGCCCCAGGGGATCGAGCAGAAGAACTGACCGACCAGCTGCACCTCAATGGTGGGGGCGAAAAAGGTCATGAAGATGAAGGCCGAGAGGAAGACCATCATGCTCATGATGACCTTGCGATGTCCGTACTTGGCCGTGAGCCAGCCGTTCAAGAGGGCGCCAATCACGTTGCCGACGGCGCTGATGTCGTTGAGGCCCGTCTGCCACTGGGCGCTGATTTGGTATCCGTCATCATCGTTGAGCCACACACCGTACTTTCTCCTAAAGGCGGGATAACCAAAGAAGGAGCTCAAGAGAGTCACGTCGTAACCTTCCATGATGACAGTGGTCGAGATGACTGTATTATTCCCTGGGTTAGCTCTTTTCTTCATGGTAATTGAGAAAAAGACGCGTAAAGTTACTCACGGACAGACCAGAATGCAGCTCTCTTGTAAGTCTTGAGAGCTTGTCCCAGACTCAAGGAGTGCTCATTGGCGGTGGCTTGTCGAGCTTCGGCATTGAGAACCTTGTCGTGGAGGTCGGCTTGATCAAACTTGGTGTATTCGAGATTGCCCTTCTCAATCTGAGTGGCAGTTGGGCCTTGCTCTTTCCCAGCGGTGTCCGCCATTTTGGTTTCGGGATCCTGAAGGTCTCTCTCCTTCTACAGCCTTCAATTAGAGAAGATGGATGGACTTTCTCGGAAGCGAGAAACGGTCACAAAGTCATAGAATCCCATAGTCGGGGGCATTGACCCCTTGATATGCATTCCCCTCTCCAAATCTCCCCTCCCCTTGAGAGAAGCCCAAGATGTCGAATCTCAAGTTGGGGTATCCTAAGGGAAGTTCGGCCCGTCAGTCCTGTTGGCTTGAAGCCCATGCTCTCAAGCTGCCCAGAACCTAGCTCATAGCCTTTTCACACGGCCAAAGCAAGACTAGGACTCGATTTGCTGCAGCATCAATTCCTTTTGCGGTCTCCACATGTTCGAATTCGAACCATAAGAGGGCATGTCATTCGTCCATCTCGGTTGGGCCCGTCATATGGTCTCGAACGATTGTGGTGGGCACTCGTTGCTGGACCGGGTGGCCGAACCGCGAATACATGATGCATAACGGAGCAGGGTGGCGTGAATGGTGGAAAATCGCAAGACGACTCCCGAATCCTGGGGAAATCGCCTAGGGGCCGGGTTTACTTTGTGCTTGTCAGCATATATCCCCGCAAATCACAGCCCTGGAGACTTTCCCCAAGCCAACCCCCGTTGGAGAATCCTTGCCTTGGCTCGTAACGAGAAAAGGCTAACCGAACGCAAAAAGCTGAGTTGGGTATTAGGTAAGTACTCACCTCTACACTTCGCTTAACATGTTCGTTTGCTTCTTCCTGCACAAATGCATTGATACAAAGCCCGACAGTTTGGTTCATGGTCGTATGCTACCATCCGAACCTCACCTTTGATCAGCTATTCGTGTCATCCGAAGATCGCTCTCTTCTATCCCCTGCATATCGAGCTCTCGGAGTAAAGCTCATCTACAAAGCCTGTGGGTGAAATGTGCACCCGTCTAGGCCAATATCACTCGGTGCCTCGATTAGTGGCCCAAGCAGCCATACTCAAATATGCATTGTTTATTTACATGATAGCGCCCTTAAGATATGAAAATGCACCAACCAAACTCCCGAAAGAACAGACTAATCAAATATCCTTACTCCTATTCCTCCTCTGTATAAAAGTCATCTACAAGGACCACTTCACTAAGCCTGTCCGAGCGTGTCCACCCCTGGCCTGCAACAGATGAGGTACTCCCATTCTCGGCGAGAAGTTGGTCCTTGGAATAGGGCCATCGGCACCGGCTGGTTGCCGAGGCTGAGCTCTGAGTTGTAGCACATCCGTGTCGATATGTAGTTAGCCCTGACGTGCTAATTTGCCGGAAGAGCTGATGAACTCTTTACCGTCAAACTAGGGCAGGGCAGAGACTATTGCATATGATATGCCTTTAGCGCGTTTTGCTGAATGCTGCTCAATCTTGAATCTTGATGATGATCTTGCCGGTCGCCCTTCTCGTCATGAGCTTCTCATATGCGCGAACCACTTCCTTCATGCCATATTCGGAGTCGATCAAGATCTCCTTGACGAGGCCATCCTCAATCCAATGAGCCAATTCGTGTGCATACTTGCCCGAAGGCGCGAGTCCGAGTATCTTATACTGCCGCGGGGTACCACCAAGCATGACTGGCCTCAGCTGATTCATGATGAAGGGATATATACCTTGCGTCTTGCCGGGCACAATCTCAATGAACCTGCCCTTGGGCTGCAAGTATGCCGGAGAACTAGTGTAAAGCGTATTGTCGCCCACGCAGTCAATTATGAGATCCAATTGTTGACTTGCGTACGTGTCTGCTAGATAGGCGTGCAAATCGTCATGCGCCGTGTAATCAATCACCTAATACAAATAGATATGAGCTCTGTTAAAAATCTACGCGCCAAGCTTTTTAGAAACTCACCTCGTCGGCACCTAGCCGCTTCACCAGATCCTCGTTGCGCTTCGAACAGACGCCAACCACATGCGCGCCTTTCGCCTTGAGGATCTGCACCAGGATAGTACCGACGCCGCCGCTGGCACCATTGACCAGGACCCGCAGGCCGGCGACGTCGTCACCGGCCTCGCGCATGACCATGACGGCCGTCTGGCCCGCGATGCCGCAGCCGAGGGCCTGCTCGGTCGTCAGGTTGGGCGGCTTGAGCGCGACCAGCTCGGCGGGGACCTGGACGTACTCGGCCAGGGTGCCGGCGCCCCAGAGGATCTGGCTCAGGCCCAGGGCGCCCACGACCTCCATGCCGCTCATGAGCCGCTTGATCTGCACGGGCACCTTGGGTCCCACGCCGACCACGGACCCGATAAAGTCGAAGCCCGGACGGCCCCGGAACGGGATCCACGCCGTAAAGAGCGACGTGTCGGCCGGGTTGATGGCGGCGTGCGTCACGCGGATCAGCAGGTTGGAGCCCACGGGCGGCGAGGGCGGGATGGGCACCTGCGACAGCCTCAGGGCCTCGTGGGGCTCGCCGTTGGCCTCAATGGCCCAGGACCACATTGTCTTGGGCAGCATGACGAGCATGACTGGAGGAGGCTACAGATTTTACTTTCTGCTCTTCCGTCACTTTCTTTTGTTCAGTTCAAATGGAGGCTAAAGATAAGGAAAAAAGAGCCGCAGGTGCAGCCAAGAAATCTCCAAATTACTGCAAGGTGTGTGCCCTCGTACAGAAAAGAAGAGGGGATTATCTTCTTATACTATGGGCTGCGGTAGTATCTGCCCTGATCAAGGTCAAAAGCCTAATCTAATGGAGATTATATTGATTATAGGCTGAACAGCGAGCGGCAACTTTTTTTCGGGGCCTTACATAGAGTATGTAGTATCTATCTTCTTTTGCCTAGGCCGTCGGTCGTATCTAGAACACACGTGTTGTATTGGAGCTGTTGATTTGAGGCGGGGCTTGGCATTTTTGACATGGGGGGACTGGAATTGGCAATCCCACCCTGCCATTAATCGATTGATTAGAGAGGAACCGCTGCCAGAGTCACAAGTGCTTTTTGGGCAGAACAAGACTGACACTTTGTTCCCAACAAAAGTGTTCTTCGTCCTCCCCGAAACGACACAGCGCAGCCCGCCGACCTGTCCCAGAAGAGCATGTTTCAAGATGCTGGTCTGCGGTAGGTGCACCGCGATTGGGTGCCGCGGTCGCTCTGGTGCGGATCAACCTACCCCAGAAAGGCAACTGTTCCTGAAGAGAGCGGGCGCCGAGACCCTTGTGCGCTTCCGTGTATTCCCACCGCACCGAGAACCGTCCATTTTGTACACCCATGTCCGACCGGCCTTTTCTTTCTTTTTCGCTTCTGCCCTTTACATGTGGCCTGATGGGAAAGTGGAAAGTGCCGTCATATAGAAAATGCTTGTTTTTACACGAACCTCCGCTTGTCCCTACAACTTTATTTCTGAATGAACGAATTGAAGGCCAAGAAATAGAGTTAAACAGTCTTGGCATTGGTCATTTCTATTCCCATTGCGACCTGGTGAGATTCTGCCATCGTGAGTAATCTGATGCGATTACAAGTTTGAGCCAGTCAGGAATGACTGATTATAAACGGCGCGAGTTCTGGCCTTGTTTAAGCATGCAAAAAGACACCCTCCCAGTTGCTCTTATTGATCTTGTTTCAACCTGCCAGTATATATGCCGTGGTATATAGATGACGGGCTGCATTGACCTCTATTGGTCCGAGGACACTCTTTTGAGAAAGTCTCGGCCATATGACATCTATATGACGCTCAACTAATGGTACGACAATTTCAGTCTCCTATATAAGCCATCAAATTGAATCGAGTGGAATAAATTGATACTCGTGTCAATGAACATGGCCAGACATCTTCACCACACCTCACCCGGCGATAATCAGGTACTTTCGAAACATGATATCTGATAGATACTGTATATGGAAAAATATGCAAGAAAAAAAAAAGAACTCCGAAGCGGGGACTCGAACCCCGAACCCTTGGATGATCATGATTTTGTCTTCATAAAAGTCCAATGCGCTAAGCCATTGCGCCACCCCGGATGGAAACTGCTCTCATTACCAAGACCCAAGAAGCTCGTCGTGTCTCCATCACTGAAAGTTCTTTGAAGAGCAAACGAGATGCGGCACAGCGCATTAGACAAAGATGACTTCAGATCCGATATGCCACCTCCCGGGGCCCCATTGTGACTCACCGCGTGATCAATAATGTGCGATGCCATCATAGAAGTCGCAGTCCTTGTGACCCAACCAAAATTCTATTATTTGATCTTGCCTCTGCTGATCCAACGACACCCGGATATATAGATTATTTAGAATATCTCGCAGATTGCCCCCCTCTCAATCTCACCTCCATTCCCACATCCAGTACGAGTCTCTATCGAGTAGCGTAGAGGCATTACGACAGGACGGACTGAAATGATCCTCCACATTTCCAAATGGCCACATGGCGACGTAACAGACCTCATCCGACGCGCACGGCCCGCATTCCTTCCATTCTGACCACTGCAAAGTATTCATCAAGCTGCGTACCAGGGATGCCGCCTGAGTCAGGGACTCGACCTCGTTGTCAGGTTCCTGGACAATTCCATATGCCCGAAATAAGGTGCTGCATATGAGCCGGGTCGTTGCCAGAATCCCAGCATAGATCAGCTCTTCCTCGGGTGTCTTTGTCACCGCGCCCAAGAGGTAGTGGTCTGCGCAATGCTGCTCGGCTTCTTCCAAGTCCACGTTCTCTTGCTCGTAATCAATATGCGTGACCAAAAGATGACTAAAAGATCTCTTCATGGCATCAACAGTCTTGCTCTCGGACGCTTGCTGGAGTACGTCTGCGTAGCGTGTCACAACCATGTCCGTCACCCCTTGCCAATCCGTGCCACCGCCCTGATCGAATACTGCCCGCCTCCTCGCCAACGGTGTGTTGCTCTCGACATGGGACTTAATCACCGCCAGCTCCGCATCGGTCGCGCTGAGCAACCTCGGGAGCTCGGGCCGCGTGGCGTTGGGGTTGGTCAGGTTGAGCGGGTAGAAAAAGGCCGACACCATAGACGAGTAGTCGATGGCCACACGCCCAGCGGCGAAGCCGTGGTATCGTTGGGACGCGGCGCGCATCCACTCAAAAAGGTCGTCCATGAGGTCGGGTATGGTGTACATTTCGCGCGGTCGCCGGGTCGCCGAGACCTGGTCGAGTCCGCCGTCGCGGAAATTGCAATACACCACTTCGAAGCCCGGTTCCATGCGGATGAAGCCGTCGATATGCCAGGTTTCTGCCCATGCACAGAGCTCCGCCGCGCGAATCATGTCTGCTTTGAAACTCCGTGTCCTGTTCGCGGTGATTATGAAGTCCTCGGCGTCGTTCAACCCCTGACCGGATTTCCCAGCAGCCATGCCGTCTATGTATAATAGATTCAGCGGGCGCGTGGCTTGGTAAACATGGAGATAGCCAGATATGAATTCGCAGTCGGGACCGGGATTCCAATGGTCACGACAACTGGTCCGATTTGGCGTTGGGGCGGCGTCTCCATCTAGCGAGGTTTCCGTGACTATGCTATCAGGTAATGGATGGTGGGCTTCTTGGTGACGAGCAACCAGTGGCTTCTGACTGGCATCGTCAGAAGTGAATATGTCGCTGGCATTCTCCCGTGGCCTCAGCCTTCCACGGGCGAAATTCTCCGAGTGCTCAATCTCAAAAGCCAACCATTCCATGCGCTCCGGTACATCTTTGATGATGTTGCCGTGATACAAGAGGGTGCCCGTCGGCAAAGTTGCCTGGAAAAAGGTCATTCCATTGTGGTGTATCGAAGACCCAAATTGGCGCATCGCATTGTGCAGCGTGTTGAAGATCTGAGGTCCATGCTGGATTGCCGCTTCTGTGCTTGGCGCAAATGATCCCTGCTTCTCACCTGTTGCAGTAGGTGAAGACGAGGACGCAAAGATGCCAACAAACAATAGCAACGCCGAGCAAATCGTTACTTTCGAAAGCATTATTACTGTCGAGATCCTCTATCAAACGATGGATTGACTTTGAAGTAATTCGATCAGTTCGGTATCAAAACACATGTTGTCAGAGGTTGCTGCCTGCCCGGGGTGATCATCCTCCGTTATCGCCTCTCTGCTGACGGCGTCTCACCTTGCCGCACTGGGCCATCCAATGAGGCAGCTTGGATGAGGCAGCCACAAAACGCGAATACCAGCAAGGCCAGTCGTTGCACACAGACGAAGCACGCATATAGCAAAGATACACGCACAGGGTCCGGTTACACTGTACGCCAATATCATATGACACTGATCTTGGTAGCCTATTGGGTTTGACTGACCGGAACTTCCTTTTCTAAAGCTCCCGCCCAGCCTCTTCAGCTAAGCTGTGAATATGAAGGTTGTATGTAGCTTAAACGACGTTGCAACAATCCAGATTGACGTGCAAAACAACCAAATTTGTCTCGCTCAGTTAAGAGTGGCTATTGGCGAGCAGAATCAGGGACATTTGTATGCAGACTCATAGAGTTTCGGCACGGGAATAATCATCTGCACTGTTTCACTACCGGACCATTGGAGCGCCTAGAAAAGCGTCGATCACCATGTCGGTGATTTGGCTGAGTTGTGAGAATGTTTCAAAGCATGTATGCTGTGCGCTTGTCCTGTGGGTTTCCTTTGAATGGAGGGATTAGGGCAGTTGCTTCAAGCTTCAAGCTGCGCTTGAGGCAACTAGTGATCAACTAGATCTTGAGAATTGAAGCTCAGCTATCCTCACACAAGCAATGAAGCGTGACCGAGCACATTGAAACAACTCGTGATATCCCACAGATCAGAATCAATGCAACTGCGGTGTTCCCAGACCGTTTCCATGATTTTCAAAGCCTCTTTCACCGTGCCAAACACCTGCATTCCGTCCATGTTGCTGACCATGCTACGGAAGAAATCCTCTTGCTCTGGTAAGGCTAGACAGCCCGTGACAGCAAACGGCCAGACCATTGTTCTTAGACATAGTGGACTTGGGAGTGCACGGAAGAGTTCTATCGTCTCAGCGACATTGACTTGGATATCTGGTAGCGCGGGCTGAAAGCCGGACACGACAACAGCATCGAAGGTGAGCGCAGCCTTGGCCCAAATCTTGGTGTGGATGGCCTGCGCAACACTGGAGCGCTGCTGGCCGAAATCTGTGATAATTTGGAAGCCAGAGCCTAGGAACGGCTGATCCGGAGATCGCGCCGAGGGGTCGAAAGGATCAAATGGCACATCCATGATAACTTGGTCCAGTTCTGCGATGCCGGCGCGAAGCCTCGACTCTATGCACGATCCTTGCTTTACTAATTCCACCATGGAGAGAGTCCTCGCTCGCTTCATTTCTTTCTTCCAGGCCTGGAATCCGGCGATTTGACTTATAATGAGCAGGACCCAATTATGGCAGCCAAAGAAGTCCCAAGCCTGGAGGCTAGGATCGTCCCCGACAATCAGTTGCTGGTGAAATGCTCGCAGCCGAGGTGCTCTCTCCAGGGCTGTGGATGCTAGGATGTCCGTCCAGAGTAGATGCATGGTCTGGAATCGAAATGACGCCTGACTGGCAGACCATGGGTGTGAACCATCGCCAAATTCAATGGTCATGCTCTGCGAATCCATGCCTGCAAGGATGGAGTGCCAGGGTCGTTCGCGATCTGTGGCATGATTTTCGATGATTTGTTCAAAGAGCGAGCAGGCAGCGTCAAGGTGCACATTCCAATTGCCCGCATTTCCAATCGTGGTATCGAAAGAGATCATTTGGATCATGCACTCCAGACTTCTTATGCTCTCGTGAAACAGATTGGCGACACCGTGAGAGTTGAGACATTGTAGACTTTTCTGGAGTTCCTCGATAGACAGGCGATGTTGTTTTTGGAGTTCTCCCCAATTGCGCTCCTGGCAGTCCTCGTGACCGAGCATAGTCTTACTCACCATGACGGAGAAGAAGTAAGACGACAAGCAAAGCGCAGTATGGAATAGTGACTTGTTCCTCATAAGCAGCACCAAGAGCCACCCGCGCCCTCCTTGTAGTAGAGGTGGTCTGTAGAAGGGAGACATATATGGTACCACATAGTCCAGATAAATCATAGAAAAGTTGAGTTCCCTTTCGGATTCGTCATTTGGACAGGGCTTCTTTGTTATGTGTACATCGACGTGACCAGATATGTCTGACTCGGCCAACACCGGCTCGAATACTTGCAAACTCGGCCGGGCCGTCTGCTCCTCTGGTGATGTATGAGCAGTTGGAGAGCCTTCTGTTGCACTCGTTCCTGGTGTGTACATGGAAGGTCCACTGCTGTTGCCCATCTCATGATCCGTGGTGGATTCGAGCGTATGGTCCGCCATGCTGTGAGCCAACATGGCATCATTGATGACCGACGTGGGTGGCTCACTCTCAGATTCATCAAGCTGAATCTCGGAAGCCCACTTCTTCTCGCGCCGCTCGTTGGCCTTGGTCTTGACCATGGCTTTAAGATGATCAGACATCTCCTTTTCCCGGATGCCCCCGTCCATCCATTCCGGCTTCTTGTCGCTGTAGAGACAAGTGATCTCTAATGAGGCACATATTGAACAATTTGGCTTTTGTTCGTCGCACTTCTTGCGGCGCAGACGACATGTCCAGCACCCTTGAGTGCTACGGATCTTTCCCGGCGCTGGCATCGTCTGGGGATGAAATGCCTTGGCGCTTGTGCAGGGCTGCAGCTCCTACTTAGGTTTCTGTACTCCAGATGCTTTGGAGCTGCCAAACCCGGATCACCGGGAGCGCGCTCGCAGAAACCTTGAGTAACGCGCGCTCAGATTGGCTCAGCAGATGTCTTTCGGTGTATGTTGATGGTTCAGCCTCAAATTACGCTTGATCAATGTTGGCAACTCAGCCTGTAAGCGGGTTGGCAGGTGCAAATGTTCAGGAGCTTCCCTAACTCATTTGTCATCACGAATACATCTGGCATCCATCAGTTTTTGCGACAGTCACGAGTCAGATTAGGTCCAGGCTAACCAGAGTAGGGGTCGTCGATCACTGGAACCGAGACCCTGAATTGCACGGA